ACGAGGGGAAAAATAATGATTAAGAAAGCGGGAAAATAATAGTAGCTGAATAGAAAGAAAGAAAGAAAGAAAGAAAGAAAGAAAGAAAGAAAGAAAGAAAGAAAGAAAGAAAAAGAAAAATTTTGGGTACGAGGGGAAAAATAATGATTAAGAAAGCGGGAAAATAATAGTAGCTGAATAGAAAAAAGAAAAGAAAAAAAAGAAAAAAGAAAAAAAAAAAAAGAAAAAAAATTTTTGGGAAGGGGAAAAATAATTAAAGAAAGCGGAAAAAAATAGTTGAATAGAAAGAAAAAGAAAGAAAGAAAGAAAGGGAAAAAAAAAAGAAAAGAAAATATTAAGAAAGGGGAAAAAATAATGATTAGAAAGCGGGAAAATAATAGTAGCTGAAAGAAAGAAAAGAAAGAAAAGAAAAGAAAGAAAAAAGAAAGAAAGAAAAATTTTGGGTACGAGGGAAAAATAATGATTAAGAAAGCGGAAACATAATAGTAGCTGAATAGAAAGAAAGAAAGAAAAAAAAAAGAAAGAAAAAAAAAAAGAAAGAAAGAAAGAAAGAAAGAAAGAAAGAAAGAAAGAAAGAAAGAAAAATTTTGGGTACGAGGGGAAAAATAATGATTAAGAAAGCGGGAAAATAATAGTAGCTGAATAGAAAGAAAAAAAAAAAGAAAGAAAGAAAGAAAGAAAGAAAGAAGGAAAGCTTTTTAAAGACCTGCAAAGAATAAAGAAAGAAAATAAGAGGCGGAGGCGGGAAATATGAGGCGAGTGGAACGAATGATGGAAAGGACAAAGAAAAATGAAATTTTAAAATTGAAAGAAAGAACGAAATTGAGAAGGAAATGTAGATAAAGAGAGAAAAGAGAAAAAGAGGAAAAAAAAAAAAAATCTTTAATTCACATTTTTTTCTAAAATGAAACAAAATAAATTGTGTATTGGAATAAAATAAAATAAAATATATCTGCCATTTTCTGGAATTCTTGAAATAAAAAAAAATATTTTCATAATTTTCAAACTGTTTTACTTATTTTTTTTCATTTTATTTTATTCATTTTTTTCATTTATCTCCAAATTAAAAGTAAAAGAAAAAGAAAACATTAATAATATTAAAGGCCGTTAATACGTGGCTGAGTTAGTTGCATATTATCTCCCCTAAATTCAATCCAGACGTCCAGTGGAACTACGATCCATTGCTATATCTCCTTTCTCTTACTGCTCCAAAAAGTATCTGACTACTCTTACCATTCTTCAACTTTACAAGCGTCAGATTAAACCAAAAATGGAGTATTCCTGCCATATCTGGGATGGAGCTGCCCAAGCTTCACTTTCCAACGGTGAGTTCATAAGCGTCCCCGCGGCCTTGTAGGTGATGACTTATTTGCCACCCTGCAACCTCTTTCCCACAGACACAAAATTGTAAACGTATCGCTATTCTATCACTACAGTGATTCCTCCGTATCCGCGGGGGTTAGGGACCAGAACCGGCCGCGAATAGTTAGAATCCGGGGATACTTGTAACCCCCCACCCCTAAAAGTGCTTATAAGAACCTATTTTGATTGTTAAAACCCCATATGCCTTAAAGTTTTCTCCTAAACACTTTAGAAACATTTCAGACCCTTTTAAAAACATTTTGGAAAAATAGTATTGGTGACCATACTCTTAGCGTAAATTTTCTTTCATACGTAAAATAACCGTTTTTAATTACGCATAGATCAATACAACCATTGAAAATACTGTATAAAATATGTGTAACAAGACATAAAATATAAAGTTTAAAACATTTTCTAAAAACAGAATTGTGATGATGCCCCCAGACTTAGCATAAGCCACTTTTAAGACCCCAGCCGCAGACCCTAATAAAGAACAAAGCCCAAGAGCCACGCATGTTTTTGTGTGTTTTTTACAATGAAGATGTAAAATTCTGCCAATTTTTACCATAAAAAAGGACAGTTTTATATTTTACGTCATTTAAATAACAGGAAAATAATACAAGAATATTTTAAATATGTTCTATCGAAAAAATTACGCGAATCAAGGGAGTTCTCAGCGAATAATTTGTACATATGTTCTTCAGAAAAACACGCGAATATTCGGGGTTTCCGCGAATAAAAAGTACATATGTTCTAAAGGAAAATCCGCGAATGAGTGAAGCCCCAAATGCTGAAACGCGAATAGGCTGGGGGTTTTTTCATAGCAAATGTTCGAACATTTTTAGTGCCCCTTATTCAGATATTTACAACCATGGTCCGCCTTACTACAACCACAGGAAGGAATCAGCCTCATTACCCCCGTATTCCATTGGTAAATAGGATAGCTTCTTCCTAAGAACCATTAATGTGCGGAACAGACTCTCGCATGGATGTTTCCTCGAGCACTTCAATCTTAGCCATTTTTTAATCGTTTCAACTCCACCCCAAGCAAGGCGGAAATATCACTTGGGTTACAGGGGGCGAAAGTGAAAGAAAAGACTGAGTATAGGGAGGATTGGATAAAAGATGAACGGGATTCAAGAAGATAGAAGATGGCGATTTATATTTTTTTGATGTCAACGAACACTCGGGGCCATTTTTGTGATGTCAACGAATAAATGTTGTCACTTTTGTAAATGCTCGTTGTAGTAGAGACTTTGTAGTTGCAGATACACCTATAGTAACGCCGTTGATGGATACTAGCGTCAGACGCCTTCGAATAACACTCGCACTAATAGTACTTGCTCCATAATAATTGCTCGAATCGTAACCATTGAATAGTAATCTGAAAAAAGAAAAAAAGTATAGTGAATAGAGTAGAAAATAGCAGTCCGTAGAGTAATAGAGGATAGAACAGAAATTGTGATCCGTATAGTATAGAGGATAGACTAGGAATAGCGATCCGAATATTATTAGAGGATAGACTAGAAATGGAGATCAATTAGACACACGTTACCTCCTATATATGTGTTTCCTCTATGGTCATATGGTATACTTAATTCAATAATGGGATCGCCTGTGTTTGCTCACTGGCGATTTATGTTCAAACTTATGTCAAACTTTATTCCTATATGCAAATATTTGAAGATTCGAGTTACCAGGGAATCAACAAAAAAAGAAACCATTGGAGCATCTGAGATGAGGTATTATGTACATTATTTCCTCATCTTTCTCGGCATATTTATTACAACGTTCGGCCGTTGTACGCTCCGACCTTCTTCAGGTGGTTGAAATGTTGAACAGAACCCTTTATTTCGCTCAATGGGGTAGACTGTTCTAGTTCCACGTGCCATGTCTAATGGATGTCAGTTATCAGTATAACTGTCACAGCTCTTTGGGTCCTGTCACTGGACCTAACCAACGCCTTTATCCACTGCACCATGCGTCATTAAAGAGATCTGTGTATGAATTTCTGGGACTTATAAACTTACTGCCTTCAACAATCGTTTTTTTACCAGCGCTCATATTGAAATTTTCGTTGCTTTTCTCTGGCACTCCTTATTCCAATAACCAACAAATACAATTCTTAAAAGAGTGCTCAATACAGAGTAAAGCAAATATAATTTATTCGAAAATTATAACATAAATATGTTATAAAATCACTAAAAAAATATACATTTTGTTTCAACACATCTGGTGTCTTATCAAGAGATAGTGTTGAAAAGATACCAGAAGTATTGAAAGAAAATGGCAATTTTGTAGTGATTTTATAACATTTATGTTAGAATTTTTTAATAAATACTATTTGCTCTACTCTGTATTGAGCACTCTTATAAGTATTCTTATAAGAGTGTTCAATACAGATTGATACAATATATAGTGCTCAATACAGATATTTGCTGGTTATTAGAATTTATTCCGTATACAAATCATACTATATATATATATATATATATATATATATATATATATATATATATATATATATATATCTACATACACATATATATATATATATATATATATATATATATATATATATATATATATATATAAATGATTGTGATTATATATATAGGTGATTGTGTTGTATAGATAAAATGAATTCAAAATTTATTTAAATATGATTCTATATATGCTTACTGCATAGTGTTTTAATATTTTAACGGTCGATGTAAACTCCAGTAAAACTACGTAAGGCGAATTTTATTTTTCCATATAATAGTTTAAAAACAACCGACGTATCTTCAAAAGTGACTTAACTCGAAACGATTTCAACTGAGGTATCACTATATATATATATATATATATATATATATATATATATATATATATATATATATATGTGTGTGTGTGTGTGAAGAAAAACAATTGCCAGAAGACCTAACACCTTGGACAAAAACAAAATACTGAACAAGAAAAAAGAAAACAATCACATTACAACAACTCAGTAAAGTGCTCGATGTCTAGATTGTCTAGATAGAGCGAAAATGGTTGCTATCTTTAGGCAGCTATATACATTCTGTTAAAAAAGTCGGCCAAAGTAATATTATAACAAAAATATATATGACAGGTTTTACATGTAATAAGTCAGTATTAACGGATATTTTTTTTTTATTTTTCAGATTAATAACATTACATCATATAATATTTTCCATCTAAAATGATTCCCGGAAAAAAAAAGAAAACCATCTTGACAAGAAAAAAAAAAGAAGCAGAATTTCAAGATTAAGGCAGGCAAATTTGACTGACAAGAACATTTTTGGGCTTCTAAATGACGAAAATTTTGAAACAACTCTGTCAGCTATGAAGTGAACTGTTTTAAGATACAAAACACAATGTTCCGTATGAAGCAAATCGAGGTCTGGCCGCCCTAGAACTTCCACAGTTAAGGATGACCACAGATTGAAAATGATGTATTTCAAAGATCGGAAGAAAACACTTGTTGATCATTCTAAACAATTTACCTTCCTGGGTATGACGATAAACTACCTCCGCGTCCAGGCTATGACGATAAACTAAATCCGCGTCCAGGGTAAGACGATAAATTACATCCGCGTCCAGGGTAAGACGATTAACTACGTCTGCGTCCAGAGTAAGACGTTAAACTAGATCCACGTCCAGGGTAAGACAATAAACTACATCCGCGTCCAGGGTAAGACGATAAACTACATCCACGTCCAGGGTATGACGATAAACTACTTCCGCGTCCAGTCTATGACGATGAACTACATCCACGTCCAGGGTAAGACGATAAACTACATCCGCGTACAGGGTAAGACGATAAACTACATCCACGTCCAGTGTAAGACGATAAACTACAACTACGTCCAGGGTATGACGATAAACTACCTCCGCGTCCAGTCTATGACGATAAACTACAACCACGTCCAGGATAAGACGATAAACTACATCCACGTCCAGGGTATGACGACAAACTACGTCCGCGTCCAGTCTATGACGATAAACTACACCCGCGTCCAGTCTATGACGATAAACTACATCCACGTCCAGGGTAAGACGATAAACTACCTCCGCTTCCAGTCTATGAAGATAAACTATATCCACGTCCAGTCGATGACGATAAACTACATCTCCGTCCAGGGTAAGACGATAAACTACGTCCACGTCCAGGGTAAAATGATAAACTACATCCACGTCCAGGTTTTGACGAAAAACTACATCCGCGTCCAGGGTAAGTCGATAAACGACATCTACGTCCAGGGTATGACGATAAAGTACGTCCGCGTCCAGGGTATGACGATAAACTACGTCTGCGTCCAGGGTATAACG